TAGAACCCAGAACCTGTAGTTCCGTAGAACCCAGACTGACCTGTAGAACCAAGAACCTGTAGTTCCGTAGAACCCAGACTGACCCATAGAACCCAGACTGACCCGTAGAACCCAGACTGACCTGTAGAACCCAGACTGACCCGTAGAGCCCACACTGACCAGTAGAACCCAGAACCTGTAGTTCTGTAGAACCCAGACTGCCCCATAGAACCTACACTGACCTGTATAACATAGACTGACCCGTAGAACCCAGACTGACCCATAGAACCTAGACTGACCTGTATAACATAGACTGACCCGTAGAACCCAGNCCCTACAACCCAGACTGACCTGTAGAACCCAGAATGTGTAGTTTCGTAGAACCCAGACTGACCCATAGAACACAGAACCTGTGGTTCGTAGAACCCAGACTTACCCGTAGAACCCAGACTTACCCGTAGAACCCAGACTGACCCATAGAACCCAGACTGACCCATAGAACCCAGACTGACCTGAATAACCCAGACTGACTCGTAAAACCCAGACTGACCCGTAGAACCCAGACTGACCCATAGAACCTAGACTGACCTGTAAACCCAGACTGACCCGTAGAACCCAGACTGACGCATAGAACCTAGACTGACCTGTTTAACCCAGACTGACCCCTACAACCCAGACTGACCTGTATAACCCAGAACCTGTAGTTTCGTAGAACCCAGACTGACCCATAGAAGACAGAACCTGTGGTTCCGTAGAACCCAGACTTACACGTAGAACCCAGACTTACCCATAGAACCCAGACTGACCCATAGAACCTAGACTGACCTGAATAACCCAGACTGACTCGTAAAACCCAGACTGACCCATAGAACCCAGACTGAGCTGTATAACCCAGACTGACTCGTAGAACTCAGACTGACCCATAGAACCCAGACTGACCTGTATAACCCAGACTGACCTGTATAACACATACTGACTCGTAGAACTCAGATTGAACCATAGAACCCAGACTGACCCGTAGAACCCAAAACCTGTAGTTCCGTAGAACCCAGACTGACCTGTATAACCCAGACTGACCCTTAGAGCCCAGAACCTGTGGTTCCGTGGAACCGAGACTGACCCGTAGAACCCAGAACCTGTGGTTCCGTAGAACCGACACTGACTCGTAGAACCCAGAACCTGTTATTCCGTAGAACCGAGACTGACCCGTAGAACCCAGAACCTGTGGTTCTGTAGAACCCAGACTGACCCGTAGAACCCAGAACATGTAGTTTCATAGAACCCAGACTGACCTGTATAACATAAGACTGACCCGTAGAACCCAGACTGACCCATAGAAC